TAAAAAAAATTAAAATCATAAATCTCAAAAAATTAACCAACTAGTTCATACATGTATCATATAATTAGGGGTGAAACTGGGGCGGGCCGGCCTTCAGGGGCATACGGCTCGGCCTACATCAGGCCAGACCTGACCTAGTATATTTTATATAATAGGTCGGGCTTGGGCCTTAAAAAAGCCTGTTTAATAAAAAGGCCGTGGGCCTACTTTCAAAAGGCCGGGCCTATAAGCCTATAGGCTGACCTATATTATACTATTTATTTTAAATAAAATAAAATAGAGTAAGTATGTGTAATACCCCATATTTTCTTTTAATAAAATAATAATAATAATAATAATAATATAATAATAAATATTTTTGGATAATAATGATATTTAGTATTTTTGTAATTAATAATATTGATATTTAATATTTTTAATTAATGAGTTAATAATAGTTAAAATAATAAGAGGTAAGATAATAATAGTAATATTATTTTATTTATGTGATAATATATAATTATATATATATATATATATATATATATATATATAATAGATGATAAATTGTAATTAATTGGATTATTAATTGATTGATGATTTAAGCATTTATGATTGATTGGTAATGATTGATTGGTAATATTTGATTGATAATGATTGATTGGTAATGTTGATTGGTAATTTGATTAGATATGATGAGTTAGCATTGAGTCAGTAATGTATGAAGTCAATATCTGAGTCAAATACATCAATAAAGAAAAAAGAAATAAATGCACGAAACCCATATCCGAGCCCAAAACTTCAACTATAAATAGAGGCCTAGCCTAAACAAACTAATTCACTCTCCAACATTTCTCCTCTACTACTCTCTCTCCTAACTTCAAAAGTTTATTTGTTTTATTTTCTATATTCTTTTGGTTACCAACCGGTTCTCTGTCCCAATTTATTCTCTTCTAGAAGTTAGCAAAAACGGAGACTAGATAATTCTAATCCTTAGGTATTTTTAGATTATATTTATTTTATGTGAAATTTGGTATGTGTAATCCTAATCCTTAGGTTATAATTTTGTTTGAAGTTTATTAATAGTAATCCTAATCCCTAGATGTTTGTAGGTTATCTGTATTATATGAAATTTGGGCATGATCCTTATATGTAATCCGTATATGTTCTTAATAGTTTGGTATGAACATTTCTATATATATAGGTATTTGTTCTTTTTAAATTTAAATTACTACATATGATAATTAGAATATGGATACAAGTTATTCCTTAGAATGAAAGAGAATTCCGAATAAGCTTTTTTTGAAGTACATGGGAATCGAACTGCAACACACACACCCACTAAACACTACACACCCCACCACCACTAGGCTAGCCCTAGTGGGTTGAATTCCGAATAAGCTTGCAATATATGATATAAACTTTTATTTTAGAAATTATGATTATGTGCAATATATGATATAAAATGTTATTATTTTAGAAATTATAATTATGTGCAATGTATGGTATAAAATTTAATTCATGTGCAATATATGGATCTTATTGAATAATTATGAAAATTATGGAATTATAATACTCTTTAAGAAAAACTTTCCAAATATGTGTTTTAATGATTGAATTTAAATATTTATAACTATGATAATTGATGTGATGAGATTATTTGAATGACGATGATTGGATTTGAATTTTACTGTGATAAATGTTGAAGATTTGAATTATCATATCCTTGAATAAATTGGAAAGTTATGATGATGATAGGATTTGGATTTTACTATGATAAATGTTGAAGATTTGAATTGTTATATCCTTGAATAAATATGGAAGTTATGATGACATTGAGTAATGGATATATTGAAAGAAGAAATTTTCGAATGTGATATGATGATTGAGTGTGATTGTAAATAATTAAATAGTGGGAGGATAGCTTTGGGATGGTACCTCCCAAGGTGATGAACACAACTTTTGGGCTTTATGCTTCCGATGTGAAACTGATGTGAAAAAGATTATATCCGTTCTTCCCAAAGTGGTATCTGGTAACAGTGGTTTTTTTCCCGGGATACTAGTAGCAACTTTGGGAAGAGGTGTGCACACTAGGAAGATGTGAATTGATTATGTCCAATGTGATTTGTTTGTGACTGACAGGGTTTCCCGGGTCACAGGGTAGACTGACAGGGTTTCCCGGGTCTACCATGGTTCTCTTCCCACTAAATATAATGAACTTAAACATTATTAATGAAATTTGTTATTTGATTTGATTATGAAGAATGTCATTGAGTTGTGAATATTATCATATTATGATTAATGTTGTGCTAAATATGTTAGTTGATAATTACCAAATACATTAAATGAACTTAATAAAGATAAATATTATATAATGAAATTTTGAATATTATATTGATATTTGATTTGATTAATGTGGAATTGATTTGAACATTATTTGATATTTGATTTAATTTGTTATTAATTACATTAATTGTATTTTGATTGGGATTACCAGCTTTGCTGACTTTTGTGTTTGTTTAACTGCAATGATCCTGCGGCTGCGGGGGAGCAGATTTTCAGTGAAGCATGTTGCAAAGGATGGGGCTAGCTGTGGGCAGTGAGGATCACGACTCGGATATTTCTAGCTGTCATAAATATTATGTATAAAAAAAAAACTGTAGTCTTAGATTTTTATTTGAACGTAATAGAGTTAGCCTTGCACTTGTCCCTGTACAGGTGCGGCGGTAACACTTCCCAAATTCGATTATTTTGAACTTCCGCTGTTATTTATAAAATTATTGAATTTATTTATGCTATTATAAATTGTTAGAAATTTGGGGTGTTACAGTATGCCTTGAAGGAAAAATAAAAGATATAAATTTAATCAATTACAATTATTTATAACTTAATTATATTTTAATAGAAATTTTATTTTATTTCTTATATAGGAGGAACCAACATCTCAACATGTTAGATTGTGTATATGAATATATTAAAAGATTTTTGGGAAAGGTTATACTTACTACAAGCATCATGATGTGTTTGTTGTATTCATGTAGTTATTTTAATTTACATAGTATGGATTTGTTTGTTGGATCTGATGCAATATATGTTATTTAGTTTGAGCATTTTGCTTTTGAAAATGACTTAAATGCATATTGTATGAGTTTTGTTATGATTCATGATTCTGTTTGGACGTTGAAATTATGATTTTTGGTGTAGCAACAGAATTCGAGTACTTCGTAAAGTTGATTCATGGTTATGCTTGGAACTTAGAAATTAACAGGCTAACGGGTCAAGCCAGGTCATTTGTTTTTTTATAAACGGGCAAAGTCAGGCTAACAGTTAGACTCATACTAAGCTTGGGTCAGGCCAAATTAAAATTTTTTGACTTAGGCTTGAGCTTTTCGGGGCAAAGCTTGGCCCAACCGAGTCCACTTTCACCCCTACATATAATTCAAAAGCATCCCTAATTCATTACATATACAAATCGCTGGCTTGGCCAATCATATTAAATTAAAATTCGAATCCCGAATTGTGCGATTTCTGCAAATATATTGTAGATTCAAATTCTATCCAAGAAGTCATAAAAGAACTTGCACTTACGAGTGTGTAAAAGAATCAAAAATTTGAACTATGAACTGAATTGAATTGCACTTAAAATAACGGATTTTTGAAAATAGTTCATGAACGGAACTGATTTTTAAAGAACCAGTTCAAGAACCGAACTCGTTTTTAAAAACTAATTTAAGAATCGAACTGAACTATTTTATTACTTTATTTCTTTAATTTTCGTTCTTTTCTTTTTAGAATAGGTTCGACCCGAATCAGTTTCGAACCAAACTGAACCGAACCGAAGTGTTTTTAAACTAAATTGAATCGGTTTCCAACCGAATGAAACCGCTTTCAAACCGAGGCAAACTATTTAAACTAATTTGATTCAATTCTTCGAAAAAATACAGTTTAATTCGACCATGCACATTTTTTTCAAGGCAAACAAATTGATACATGAGACGTGTTACATAACTTATTGGATAGTACTTGCATTTGCAGCATTTGATTCATCATTATACGCCTCAAAGATATATTGGAATGTTACCTTTTCACGAAAAAAAAAAATAAGGGCATGTTTGATTTCTATTTTTAAAAGTAATTTTTAGTTTTTAGAATGAAAAATATTATTTGGCACAAGTTATTTTGTGAAAAATGATTCTAAAAACAATAACTATTTTTAGTTTTTAAAATTAAAGTTAGAGAACACATTAAAGATGTTTTCAGAATTTTTTTTGTGGTTTTATTAATTTTACAGTGACAACTTTATAATTATAAACTTTTATCAATATTATTTTTACAAATAAACTCAAGGGTTCGCTTTTTCTGCGGTTACTGCAGATAACTTATCAGCAGTAAGTCTAATACGACGTCGTTTTGGGACGGAAATCATGGTATTTTTGTAATTTTAATTTATTTCAGGGTTATTATAGTCTTTATAATTATAATTTTTTAATATCTTAGTCCCAAAACGATATTATTTTGGGAATAAATATCGATAATTTATCTGCATTAAATGCAGAAATATTTTTCTCATAAACTCAATTTTTTAAATTTAAATTATTTTCTGTGTGATAATTTTATAATTATAAAGGTTAAGGTTCATTAATAATACTTTTGTAAATAATTCTAACTTTTTATAACTCTAAATCTAATATGAAATAGTCTTCTCATTTTATATGAGAAAATTTTCTCATGTTACACTTACCACTAAAATGTGGTTCCATATTTTTTTTTTGCCTTTTTACTTTTTTCGTGGACTCCATTCATATATTGTGAGTGTAACATGAAAAAATTTTCTCATATAAAATGAGAAAATTAATTCCCATTATATGAAACAAGTTTTATTATTCTCTTGTTTTTCCTTTATAATTAGAACGATAAAACAAAATCAAATCAGCATACCCTATAGATAAAATTTGGATGGAATAAGGTTCTAAGGATACATACAATACAATACAATAAAATTTGTAGTAATGATATTGAGATATAAAAAAGGGAAATGAATGGGCGGCAGTGACAGCGAGGAGCAAAAATGGGTTGCACCACTTTTAACCCATTCATCAATTTGAATATGGCAGCGCCGCCGTCGATGTCGATGTCGATGGCCACGGCCACTTCAACTTCACCTTCAACTAACGCGTCTCCATATTCAGTTTCAGTTTCAGTTTCAGTTAATCAGCGCCAACTTTGTTTGGCTTCTCACTATTACTCTCATTCTGCCTTTCGTCTCCGTTCCTCTGGGTTTGCCTTTTCCCGATCCCCAAACGCCCCCTTTCCTATTCCTATGGTATCTATCTATCTATCTATCTATCTATCATTCGATTTTATTAATAATTGATTTGATTGGAAACCAAAATTGATTCATCATTCATGTTCCTTCTATAGATTGTTAAGGCGAAGTCGAAGTCGGAGTCGGAGTCGGAGCGGCTCCAGATTATGATTTCCGGGGCTCCTGCTTCTGGTAAGGGAACCCAATGCCACCTTATCACCAACAAAGTAAGTTCCTATAAATATGAATTTTTCATTTGGATTCTTCCTGTGAGTTTCCCAAATGACTCATCTTTTTATGAGTTTCCCACTTCCACTTGCCCCAACCAAACTTAGCTCTTAAGTGCTAGATTTTAATTAATTAATTAAATAAGCCCTAAATATGCCAACTGCAACACAATTTGGGATCCATAGGGTTGGCTTTACCCTATCCTTGCCCTGTTAGGATGATGATTGTGGTGTAATTACAAACCTTTCCTTTCAAGGGCAAATCCCAGTGCACAAAGATTCCCTTGACTTTCTATTGCATTACTATTTCCAGACCTTCTAGTCACAACTCACCAAGGAGTAAGTGAGTAACCTTATCTTATCACTTGCTCTAATGCTCGCCCTATGTTACAACCCTTTTGAATTCCCTAAATGCGCCTTACTAGTAGATAAATTTCTTGGCTTTCGGACAAGTTACTGACTCACTGCTAGATAAGGTTCTTATTTAGAGTTTTCCTTGAAATAAACAGATTGATTCAAGTACATCTCATATATGCAGTACGGTTTGGTGCATGTTGCTGCTGGAGATTTACTCAGGGCAGAAATTGCAACAGGAAGTGAAAATGGAAAGCGAGCCAAAGAATATATGGAGAAGGGACAGTTAGTTCCTGATGAAATTGTTGTCATGGTATGGTACGGAAGGGACTGCACAATTTCTCTTCAAATTATTTTGCTCTTGTTGGTTATATCTTTTTTATATTATAGATGGTCAAGGAACGTCTCTTGAAGCCAGATTCTAAAGAGAATGGTTGGCTTTTGGATGGGTATCCCCGGAGCTTATCACAGGCTACTGCACTTAAGGAACTTGGGTTTGAACCTGATATTTTTATTCTTCTAGAGGTAAAGATGTGTTGTTTTAGCTACTAATATTTCCAATCTTTCTGCCTCTGATTCACCCAAATTTATCAGTTAATTATTAGTTAAAGGAGTTGGATGGTGTTAGAAAAAAGTAAAGAAATTAACACACAATAACAAGATCTGATGTTGGAACCTCTCGAGGAAACCTTGCATCTGGAGTTCTGGACTGACCCTACACAGCCTTTGCCATGTCTCTAACACAACCATCAATGATATGAACAATTATGGTTTGACCTTGCAGTTGCAGGAGACCCCTGTACTGCTATAAACACCAGCAGCCATTAGTCTTAAATGCAAAAAAGTCAAAGTAGCTTTTATTATAATTTAAACTTGAATTTGCAGGTCTCTGAAGATATTCTTGTGGAGAGAGTCATTGGACGGAGGTTAGATCCTGTTACTGGGAAGATATATCACTTGAAGTATTCTCCTCCAGAGACAGAAGAAATTGCAGCAAGGCTTACCCAACGTTTTGATGATACTGAAGAAAAGGCATGAATATGTCAATATATATATGTGTGTGTGTTTATATATATATATATATATATATATATATATATATATATATATATATATATATATATACTTGTATTTAAGTGCAACTGAAAGTTCTTTTCCTTTATTGTTTGCTTTTGACTTAGGTAAAATTGCGATTGAACACCCATCATCAAAACGTGGATGCAGTCCTTTCAATGTATAAAGATATAACTGTTAAGGTATGCTTTATAAACCCTCTCTCTCTGACACACACACACACATACATGAAAAAGAATATATGTTAGTGCTAATAAGCTATCAATGTAGAGTAGATAATCCTTGCCACCGCAGTATAAAGCATTGATATCCACACTATAAGGGTGTTCGTACCTTGTTCTTGTGGACAAGATGCTAAGTATATCTCCTCAGCACGAGCAAAGATAAAATTAATTGACTTGTGTATTTTTGAACTAAACAATAATATAAAACATTTGATGCATGCAGGCATTGGAACATTTATATTGGAGGATAGTTGTTTGTTGCTTAACTGCTTTAGGGTTGATGGTTGTGTTTCTTCAAGTGTTATTAATGGCTACTATCTAGCAGTTTATTTGGTGTTCAATAACACTCCGCTAATGCCAAAGCAAAGATACAGTAAAACTATAGTTGGGCAGGTTCTGCTCCTTATATTTGGGTGAACCCCAGCTAAGGTGCTTTTGTTGTCTTCAGATTAATGGAAATGTCTCCAAGGAGGAAGTATTTGCTCAAATTGATAGTGCACTGACAAATCTTTTAGAACAAAGGAAGGCTGCTTCAGGTTCTGTGGCAGCATAGAATAGCATCTTTAACATTTTGACCAAGCATTGTGCCTAGCTGGAGGTAATGGATTTTATGCGATTTTATTTATTGAGTTAAAAGAAGACTTCACGCAAAATGAGCTGCATTTTCTCGTAAAAATTGATCCGTTGAAAAGAAATTGTCTCACGGCTTTATATCCCTTATGGAAAGCAATGTGATTGGCTTCGACCATGCCTGAGGACCTGTGATTTTATTCAAAGAAAATTATTCCTTTAAAATCGTTTTTATGCAATTACTAGCTTGTTTAGTGAATTATCGTTTGTCGGGCTCCTATTACTGCTTGGTCGGTTTGTTGTGTCTTTACCATTTTCTGTATATTATTATTTGATTATTGAAAATCATGTATTGGATCTACCAAAACAAAAGCAGGAAAATAATCTATTCTATGTTCTTGATTATTTAATTTACTTTGATGTTGTAACAGTATCGTGGATATGAAGATTAACAGTAAAATGCTGTAGCATATTAACTGCGAATATTGAGGTATTTTTATTTTTTAACTTCGTGTTCATAAAGTTTGATCTTAAAAGGTCCTTGCTTTATTCATATAATTCCTAAAGAAACTAATGAAAAAGTGTATAAATATAATATAAAATTAGAATATTTGTCTATGAAAAGCATCCATCATTTTTTTTTTTTTACTAATTACTCTCATTACTTTTTCTTTTTCAACGTATTTTTTAGATCTCTTGAAATAACTGTAAACAAAACTAAATCTATAAATTTTATTTAAGAGTAAGTATTTGAATAAATCATAACCACTATATAATTGTACACTCAACTCTTATTTCCCCTGTAAAATATATATTTTGGAGAAATTCTTTTAAATATTTAGAGTTGTTCCTTCATACATGAAACAGGGCCGTGCGCGGTTTTCATCGTTCGCCAATGACCTTGCTCTCTCTCGTATTATTTTAAATTGAATTGTTTGTGGGGAGTGGTCAGAGCAGTTAAGCATTAAGTTGAAAACTAAATAAAAATGTAGATACTTTCCACCCACTTGAACAATTATTGTCAAAACTTTCAAAATGGAGAATAGATCTAGGGTAGATTATAAATCTCTTGACTTTATGGCACGCACCTCTCAGCTCTAACATTCTGGTATCAATATAACCGGCATTCGCATTTGTGAATAATTGTATATCATCTTAAAAAATCCTTTAATAATCTTTGTAATTACTAGTCACTACTGTGTATTGAAAGGTCGACGATATTAGCTATTCGTATATCTGGAAGCTATGGAAGTACATGACATCTTCATATGTATAACAGTTAATCAAAAATTCAAGACTAAGCAAGGAAGCAGACTCAAGTTGTTTGGGCCATAGCATATTCCTATTCTTTAGAACATAAATAATATTAGTACCTCTTAGCCTCATGCTGCCTGCCTTCTCTCGAACCTCTTTATATCCCAATTTATAAAGATACTTAAGAGTGGCACTACTGTCACGATTCTTAAGTTGTCGCATATGAGTTTTATAAAATGAATTGTTTCCGAGAAAGTTACTTATATTTAGATACCAAATAATAGTAGCTCAGTTAGTACATGAGAGTTGAGTAAGTGGAGGTAAGAGCATATGTATTCGATCTTTTTCGATATTATCTTTAAGATAAGTTTAAAGCCTTAATTCTGGATCCGCCTCAAACTGTCTATTAGTCAGAGACTCAGAGGAAACCTATGAAATTATCAGAAGATAATCTAAAAAAAAAAAAAAAATACCAAATAGCAAATGATTGCAAACAAACCCTATGACCTTAAATGTTATTATATTATAATTACTTATTTTATTGGCAGCATACTAAAGAAGTACCATGCTTATAACATGGACTGGTATTCAATGCATATGCACATTATATATGATGCACGGGCTGAGTATTATAATTTTTTTTTTTTGGAGATTAGGCTGAGTATTATAATTACATATGCACATTTATGACCATGTATCTCTTTTGTTAACCATTGATTGCGTACATGGACACGGATTTGATGTTTTTCATGTTATAAAAGATAAAATTATCTTCTCCATATATATAAAATTATATGGAGCTCATATAGAGTCATGTGAAGAAAAGAGAGAGAAAAATAAAACATGAACTCTACGTATTTTTATATGTGTATAAGAGATAATTTTATCTCATACGACATGAAAAATATTAAACTCGTATACGCTACATCCCTTATTTTTTATGACAACAAATACATAAAACTATTTTATAAATACTAATAAAATTAAGAAATAATAAAGTCAATATCCTGCGATGAAATTGACCCTATGATCAACAGGGATGTTTTAGGTTGTATTTGATGACTTTTCTTCTATAAATCAGGTGGAGTTGGATTTTTCTATGATTTCGCGAGTGAAACGACCGAGTTATTTATTTTGAAAATTATCATTTGAGCGTGAAGACGCTAGGAGTCCGAGTCAGAGTACATGGATTTTGTTCACGGACTTAGTCTTGGGTCGTCGGTCTTTACAAATTAACAAAGTACAATGTACTCTCTCTTTTCTTTTTCTCAATTCTGAAACCGCGTTTATTATATTCACATAAAACCCTCATCTCTGTTCCCCCTTTCTCACTCCCACCATGAAATTATCGAATTCTGTTAATCAGAATCTCTATGGCTTTTCTCCTCAGCCAATCTCTCTTTATTTTTTCGTACTTTCTTCTTTCTTCTCTTCCAATCATAAATGCACTTTCAACTGTTTCCATTTCTGAAACTTCCAACCAAACATTTATTTGTGCCTTACAACAGCCAAACCAACAAGGAAAATCAAATCTTAACTGTACTAGCTTTCCTCCGGGGCTTGTCGTTAATCCCAACATTTCATATTCCGAGATTGTGGGTGGCAATGGATTTGTTTGTGCATTAAGGTCACCATCTAATTCTACTTCCATCATGGGCTGTTGGAGATTCTCTCCCAATGCTGCTACTAATGTTCCATATAAGCGTATCTACCGTGGACCCGTTATACAAGACATTGATGCTGGGAATTCCCATATCTGTGGCCTTGTAAATAGGGAAAATGGCCTCGACCTTGAGTGTTGGCAATGGCCTGGCTTCAATTCAAGCATGGGAGGGAAGAGGAACATGTCAAGCATTGCCGTGGGAGAGAATTTCTTATGTGGCTTATCAGAAACTGGGAACGTTACTTGCATGGGGAATAATACTAGAGTTGTTGGGCATGAGCCTAGTGGAAATTACTCTCTTGTTGCAGCTGGGTTTTGGCATGCTTGTGCTATTTCTCTTGATGGTAGCTTGGATTGCTGGGGAAACGTGGTGGGTGATAAACCACAAGGGAGTTTCGTTTCTTTGGCGTTGGGAGAGGATCGAAGTTGTGCACTTGGTTATAATGGAATGGTTGCTTGTTGGGGGTCGAATAATTTCAGCATGCCAAATAGATTGCAAGGGACTTTTTTTGAATCAATTGTAGCAAAGCGAAGTGTTTTCTGTGGTGTTGTGTCTTCTAATTATTCTTTGCTTTGTTGGGGTACTGAAATTCTTGAGTCAAATACCAAGGTGTTTGATAATGTCCTCCCAGGACCTTGTAGGAATGAATGTCCATGCGGGCCCTTGTCAGATTCTGCCAATTTCTGTGACTCTCCAGCCATCATTTGCAAGCCTTGTCCACCTGTTTTTCAATCTCCATTGCAGCCGCCGCCACCACCACCACCATCTCCACCCCAAAATGCAGCAGAAAGTGGTTGGAGTACCAAAATGGTGGCATTTCTAGTGGTTGGATGTGTTGGTTGCAGTTCCTTGTTGCTAGTCTTGGCTTTCTTCCTTTACAGGTACTGCAAAGGCAGAGGATGCCGTGTACATGACTCTGGCCGATTGGATGAGCCAGGGACTGAACCAGAAGCTCAAGCTGTCTCTGGAGTTCTGGAGAAGCGGTTGAGCCATGTAATTAGCATGGGAAATGGCAGCCATTTAGAGGAATTTCCCCTGCTAGTACTGGTTGAAGCCACCAACAATTTCTCAGAGGAGAAAAAAATTGGTATGGGTAGCTTTGGTTCAGTGTATCATGCCACACTGGAAGATGGTAAGGAAGTTGCTATAAAAAGAGCTGAGTTCTCGTCCACCTCTCCGTCCTATGCAGTTATGGGTGGCACCAAACGGCAAGAAGACAAAGACAATGCCTTTGTCAATGAGCTTGAATCTCTATCAAGACTCCACCATAAGAACCTAGTCCGGTTATTGGGTTTCTATGAAGACATGAATGAACGCATTTTAGTGTACGATTATATGAACAATGGTAGCTTAAATGATCACCTCCACAAGCTCCAGAGTTCTGCTCTCATGTCATGGCCACTTCGCATCAAGGTAGCTCTAGAAGCAGCAAGAGGTATAGAGTACCTACACAAGTATGCCACTCCACCAATCATTCATCGTGACATAAAGTCAGCTAACATATTATTAGATGCCAAGTGGACGGCCAAAGTTGCTGATTTTGGACTATCATTGATGGGTCCCGAAGATGAGGAGTCACACCTTTCACTTCTAGCAGCTGGTACACTTGGCTATATGGACCCTGAATACTATAGGCTTCAGCATTTGACCTCAAAGAGTGATGTGTACAGCTTTGGCGTGGTTTTGCTAGAACTGCTATCTGGGCACAAAGCCATCCATAAAAATGAGAATGGGGTGCCAAGAAATGTGGTAGATTTTGTGGTACCGTTCATTGTTCAAGATGAAATTCACAGGGTGTTGGACCCAAGAGTGCCACCCCCAACACCATTTGAGATTGAGGCCGTGGCGTTTGTTGGTTATTTGGCAGCAGATTGTGTTAGACTAGAAGGTCGAGATAGACCAACCATGTCTAAAGTTGTAAAGAGTTTGGAAACAGCACTTGCGGCGTGTTTACTCCAACCAATACTGTCGAGGTCCACCACTGCTTCTTCAGACTAGTTCAGTTCACCAAATTTCCTTTACGCTTAACGCGTTGGGCTTCCCCTTCCCTTCGTAAATGAATTCTGAATCAGTCAACTTGTGTAGATTACACCATTTTTCTTTCTTCATTTTTTGTTAATATTTTTTAAACTAATTTCATTGTCACACTCCCACGAGACAATTGTTAACACGGTCCAATTTTTGAATAAGTTGTGGTAAAAAAAGTGTATCATACATTGATAATTTGATACTGAACCATCAAATAAAAAAAAAAATATTACTACTTAATGAATGGGTTGAATCAATGTGCTTAGCAAATCACAACTCTCTTTCTTTTTTTCTTTCTTTTTTTAACTACTACTCGCGATTAGGTTAATGTTCATTTCTTTCTTCTCGAGACAGAGTCAAATAGATGGAAATAGGAGGCGGAATCATAAGACCTGTACAAACCAAAATAAATGTGTGGTCGTTCAACTTCAATCTTTAGATGTAACGTTGACGTAGTACATGCTTAGACCGTTTTCATTTATTTTAACAATTCCCCGTTACAAAAGAAATGCAGATTTGGTAGAAGACTGAGAAGCGAAATCAAAATGTTCAAGTTTTCGAAGTTTTGAATTTTCTTCACAATAATAAAAAGGGAAATTCGAGTGCATGTTTTTAAGCACTGATATTTTTTTAAAATAATTTGAATTAAAGAATAGGGTTGATATAATCAAAGTTGAAGTGTTCCCATTTGAAACATAAGATACCCAAACACGTAAAGCAAGAAAAAAGAAAAAAGAGATTGGACAATATATATATATATATATATATATATATATATATATATATATATTTAATACTTTAGGAAGACATAATTATCATATAAATCAGGATTAGGTGACAAAAGTGCTTATCAACTGGGAAATATAATTCAATGGAGCTTGCAAGGATTTACATTAGCATTGAAAAGAAAACCACTACAGAAAAACCTTTGCATCTTTGTCAAGATGGCAGTATGTAGATTTCAATGTGAAAGGTTCAGCACCAAAAAGCATTTTGACAACCTCCCTCATGGTAGGGCGCAAAGATGGAAGTTTAGTGGTACACTTGATAGCAATCTTCAAGACTTTTATCATATCTTCAGCATGCTCCGATGCCACTCTATCATCAAGAATGTTGAGAACAGTTTCACGATCATTGAGATGAGTCAAAGCCCAATAAACAATATCCTTCGCTTCTCCATAATCCTCTTCAATGGGTTCTCTGCCAGACACTAATTCTAATAGCACCACTCCAAAGCTATAAACATCACTCTTTTCATTGATGTTAATTGTATAAGCGAGTTCTGCACGGAAGAGAGTAGTATTATTAACCATATGCCATTAAATATTCAGCCGTATATAAATTAGGTGCATATGCCCAACAAGAAAGAAACACAAGATTTCACATATATCTGTCTAGGGAGACAGGAAACCTTTTAACATATTTTATTCACCAAATTATTAAGACCAGGTCATTTGTTTGTTAAAATTAACTTAAACCTGAACCATAACTGCTCTGGTAACCTCAGGGACACGAGGACTGAAATATGATGAGAACTTAAAACATTAATTTTGCTCAATGGGCATCATTTCAGCAAAACAGAAATTCACATCATCAACCAATCTTGGTAACCATTCATTGGTAACAAGTAACATTCTTGGGCAGCATCCTAAAGTAAACTTGGAAGGCAATTAAAAATTCTATATAAACGACAAAATGATGTATACGGAAGACTATCTTATGTATAATAGCAACCATATTTCACAACTCACGACTAATAGCTTAACAGTGTCAAACATACGATGTTTCTGAAACATAAACAGTAAAATGAAATTTCCAGTTGAAAGCATTTGCAAACTTACCTGGAGCAATATAACCATATGTGCCAGCTAGACAGCTATAACTCAACTGATTATTAGATTTTTCTGCAAACCTTGCAATGCCAAAATCAGCAATTTTTGGCTCATAATCCTCATCAAGCAAAATGTTGCTGGATTTTATATCCCTGTGAATAACAGGTGGAGAACAGTCATGGTGTAAATAGGCAATTCCTTTTGCAGCTCCCAGAGCAATTTTATACCTCTGGTTCCAATCCAATTCAGGCTTCCCATCTTTTATCTGTCTGTGAAGAACTTGAAAAAGATTACCATTTGGCATATACTCGAACACTAAAAGGTTGGATCCTCCTTTAAGTAAACAAGCATAAAGTTTAAGTATATTTCTATGCCTAATTTTCCCCAAAATCTCCATCTCTGCAGCTAAAATCTTCACACCATCTACTTTCCCTAGTTGCTTTACAGCCACAATGGCACTGTTTTTCCTCAACTCCACTCGATAAACCTTTCCTGTACTACCACTCCCTATCAAATTATCTTCATCCAAATTACATATTTCATCCGCATCAATATCTACTTGGTGGAAAGATGCAAGTTTCCATCTTTGACTTGCTTCCTTTTGACCTTGTAAGTTTTTTTCCGCACCATGCTTGATGCTTCTACATCTCAAAAGCAGGAACCCAGCTAAAATAACAACAATGATAGAAGCAATGAAAAGGAGGAAGATAAATGTATCAGAAAAGACCCTTGTCTGACCATTATTTTTGGCACAAATCTTCAAATCAGAATTCATGGAAGGTTTTAAGTTTTCCTCAACACACAGTCCCTTGTTGCCAAGAAAAGCTTTCTCTCCACCAATGATAAAAAGACCAGATGGAATTCTTCCAGAAAATTGGTTTTCAGAAAAATCCACCGAGCTTAGTTTCATTGTTTCTAAATTATCTGGAATAGAACCTGTAAGTTTGTTTCCAGATATATTGAGAGAGTTTAATGAGCTCATAAGTGAAACTGACTGGGGGATATTTCCAGATAGAGAATTCCAAGCAAGATTCAAGTCCACAAGCATTGCACAGTGACCCAGTTCAGCTGGTATTGATCCAGTTAATGAATTCTCTTCTAGGTGCAAAGAGGATAACTGCTTCAGAGATCCCATTTCAGGTGGTATTTCACCTGAGAAATTATTGTAGCTCAAGTAAAGCTTCTCCAAGCTCAGAAGCTTGCCAAGATCTGATGGGAGTTTACCTGAAAACCTGTTCTTTGACAAAAATAACTGACTTAAGCTAGTAGAAAACCCAATTTCTGAAGATACCTCGCCAGTGAAATCATTATAAGCCAAATCAATTATGTTTACATATGGAAGTGCCCAAACATCATCTGGAATTTTCCCAGATAAGTGGTTCCTACTGATCCTAAATCTCTCTAGAGATTTGCATGCAACATAAGACTTGGGAAAATTTCCAGAGAAGTTGTTTTGCAATGCAAGCAAAAGTCTCAACTTCCTGCTTTCACACAAGAACTTTGGGAAATCACCTGAAAATTGATTCTCAGATATGTCAATACTTTCAAGTGGCGAAAATCGGCCAAAATTTTCTGGAATCATCCCAGTGAAGCTGTTTCCGTATATTGAGAACCCAATGAGATGTTGCATATCCCCAAATCCAGAAGGAAGTTCTCCAGAAAAGCTGTTTTCATATAGTTGAAAAACAACCAATTTCTTCATATTACCTATTTCTTCTGGCAACCTACCATACATGCTGTTTGCAGAAAGATCAATCTCCTGCAGATTGGTGAGGTTTGCAAGCTCAGCTGGGACTTCTCCTGTCAAATTATTTGCGAAGAGCTCAATCTTGTAAAGGTTTTCTAACTTGGAAATTGATCTGGATATTTTGCCAGAGATCTTGTTTCTTGAAATATCCAGCGTCTCCAATGCCTTCATTTCATATATTGATTCTGGAATCTCTCCTATCAAATGGGAACCACCGAGATAGAGCCAGGTCAAGTTCTTCAGATTTCCAAGTGTCTCTGGAATCTCACCCTCAGTGTATTCATTTTCCCCAAGACCCAGTGAAACCAGTCCAGTTAGATTCCCCAACCAGCTGGGGATGCTGCCACTAAAGTAGTTTGCTGAAAGGTCAAGAACCTGCAGGTTTCTCAGTCCAGACAAGTCTGGGATTGGTCCAACCAACAGATTTCCTGTTAGATTCAAGACTCTGAGGTTGGTACAAGTACTTATTTCTGATGGAAGCTTTCCAGAAATTAAATTGGATGGTATTGACAGAACTTGCAGGCTCTGCAGAACTGATAGTGATGGAGATATGTCACCAGAGAGGGACTTATTGTCCAGTGACATTTCTGTGACTTTCCCAGAAACTGGATCACATGTAATTCCATAGAACTCACATGGAGAGTCTGATTCATTCCACGTACCCAAAGAATTCAAGGGTTCCTTTAAATGGTTCTTGAACTGAAGAAGAGCTTGGCTTTCCAAGGTTAGAGACACGCAAGGCAGGAAAATAGAGTAGGAAGTGAATAACAGCATTGCCAAGAACTGGAAAAAGTGAAAGAGACGGGTACCCTTGGCCATTAGGACAAAGTTAAGGGACAAAGTTGTCAGTTCAGAAGAGAAACAAGAATCATTGGAATGGCAGCTAGGTGGAGGAGGTGGATGATATCAGAACTTTGATGATCAATAAACCATTATTGCATGAAAAGGGGTCACCATCCTGTAAACAGAACAGATGATCATGAAACAAAAACATTCACTGACATTAGAATAAAAATAAGCCAAACATTAATAAATAGTGCCAAGGAAAAGCAACAAGGTGAGGTCAGAGAGAAAAAAAGAGGTGACGTTGGAACGTCGATTTTGTTTCTATCAGTAGAGAATTATTGTACTGTCATTACTATAATTGCAATCAAAGAATTGAAGAAAGAGATAATGCTTTGAAGCCACTCAATCGCATCTTTTGCACAAAAGAGGTTCTAATCTAATTTGCTCTGAAAGCAAGCAAGGCACACATAATTATGGCCAGGTATACTTGTTCCTCTTTAATCATGGGTTTAATATTACTAACAACCATGGACATTAGAATAATATTTTCCTTAGGGAACAGTTAATCACAGGGTAATCCTTAGAAAAGTCGCTTTCCATCCTGAGGAACACCCTCTGGCTCTCTTTCTTTCTCCTTTCGCTCTTTTATCTTGTTTACAAAAATTGAATCAAAAATTCGAAGAAGAATTTTCATTATGAATAAAAGATATAATTTTCAGTGGACATATAGCAACTATGGTGCATACCTTACCTGGAATGTCTCTTCCAAAATGGGAGAGAAACAAGAAGCTGAGCCTTCTACATAGAATTTTATAGAGTAAAATTGTGGTTAAGGATAGAAAAAGACTTTTGCAAGAGAAAATTTTATAGGATGCATGACTCTCTCTGAGAAGTATATGGGAAATCTTTTTTTATGTTAGAAGTTTCTAAAGGATCAATTATGGAGTAGAGAATAGAGGATGGAGCTTGTTTAAGAGACAAAATTGGTAGTGGACTAGTCACTAGTGGGTGTGTGAGCACTGAGCACAACAGCTATATCTATAATTGTGAAAGAGAAAATGGTAGTGAGCTGTTCCGTAGTGGAGTGGGGTGGGGGATGGGGGAGACACAGACAAAAACACTTTTGTTGTCTAGGGAAATTGACCATATTACCACTTCTTTAATAAAAATTTATCTGATTGTCACTTCTGAAAAAAAATTTTGCCAAAATGTCACGCCCGAATCCCGCTGGTCTGACAAGCGAGAATGGACTGGACACGTGTTAGCGTCTGAATGGTGAACCATTCTCGCTGGGCTGCCCAGCTAGAATGACAGAATGCTGACACGTGCCAAAAGTACAGACATCCAGAGAATGCCTGTGCTTTTGCCACGTGTCAGCATTCTGTCATTCTAGCTGAGCAGCTCAGCGAGAATGGTTCACCATTCAGACGCTGATACGTGTCTAGTCCATTCCCGCTTGTCAGACCAACGGGATTCAGGCGTGGCATTTTGACAAATTTTTTTTCAGAAATGACAATCAGGTAAAATTTTACCTAAAAAATGGCAGTATGGTCATTGTCCCTGTTGTTAAGAGAGTTTTACTTTTACTAGTAAGTAAGTTGCCTTGAAATTGAAAACAGTTAAAAGTAAAACAGAAAAGTTAAAAGGGGATTGATTGCTTAAGCTTCACAATAAATATTTCAATGCATTTGCCTAATGTCAAGGGGGGAACCACTGATTGAGGTTTTGGAGTCCTATCAACAATCAAGGGCGTGGGGGGGAAGAAAATGATGCTTTATAGATTAGGCTTAGAATGTGCTATTCATCGTTTATCCAAAAAAAAAAGAAAAAGGAATGTGCTATTCCCATATTTTTCTCAACTTTTGTTCCACATTTTCATCTTTCATCCTTTAGTCGTGGACGGACCACAAAAAAGATGTACGGTCGTTGTACCAGCCACTATTTTCTCATCAACAGTTGTCATCTCTTCCTTTTCATGTCACTGCATAACTAAGAACAATTTTTAGGAATTAATTCCTATATTACTCGATCAAGATTCTAAATATTTTCTGCGAGACTTTATTAAATATGAAAAAAAAAATATTTACATTATTCTTAATTTTATGATTATCTTTTTTCATATTCTTTTTTTTTTTTTTTTGACAACTCGTTGCACGAAAATGTGCTCCTTTTAGCATCATTCCACTAGCAACCTTTAATGCCCCCATGTGAGCTTTGACACAATGCTTTCAAAATCGTTTCAATAATAAATATCAGAAATTAGATACCTTCCTCATCTATGATGAATTGTTTCAAAAATCTGACGTATCCTATTTAATTTTCAATATTTATCACATTACAACACGTATTGTAGAAATTCAAAAAGAGGTTCAAAAATTGCATTATATTATATTTTTAATTTCAACCGTTAGATTAGTTATTTTTAATTCCAACAGTTAGATTAGTTGGATTACAATTATAATTTCATTGAGTTTTTGTATAGATAATTATGATATCTTATATTTCTTTGCAAATTGACATGTATTATAAATTTAACTTTATTTTTTTGTTAAATTATTGAATGTTAAATATAATATACAATACATAAATTAAAAATATTATTTAATATCAAAACATGTTCTAATGTATCAAAATCTAACATTTTTTTTAAATTAATGTATCAAAGTATCGTATCATATCGTGTCTTATGTCGGTGCAATATAGTTACCCATAGAGAAAAAACTCGCGTAACATATAAATTATCTAAACCTAATCGATTAATAATAAAAGAAAATATTGTCTCACATTATTGAAGACTTCTTGTCTTATGCTATAGAGATAAATAAATTGGGCTTACCTTTAATAAAAAATAATAAATAAATTAAAGGAATTCACATATTTATACGTATGACATGAGATAAGATGTCTCCAATAACATGAGATTAATAAATTTCTAATAATAAATATCTTGTTATAATATATTTATTATTTTAGTCTATTCAAATTTTTAAAATTTTACTCATGATGATTGATTGATTTAATTTATCCGTCTTGTATAAGATTACACAAATATTTTTGCAGCCTGGTTTCCATTTCACTCACCGACAGATTTATCCTTCAATTTGTAAAAGGAGTTTACATTTATCATTTAACATGACCACACAAAGTTTCTTACATACATAATATTTTGTGAGATCCGTATATTTTGAAGAAAAAAAAAATTACGGTACGCAAAATGAATCTCTATAACATAACACAATCATTTTTTTTATAACATAACTTTTATAAAACCCTTTGTAAAATTGATTGATAAATATTAAATCAAGTGACAACCTGGAAATGAATTGACAAGTGAGAGAAAAGTTTAGTAGAATCAAAGATCTATCACGAGAGTTTGGATAAGACGAAGAAACTTCTAGGTCGTTTTTTGAAAGAGTGTTTCTTGCAAATTTTATGTAGGTTCTTGAAAAATGGGAAATTAAAATGTCATTGTACAAAATATATTTTTTTAATAACAAAAACGTATTTTTCTCGAAAATTCTATCAAAGGAATTATAAAGGAAAAAAGAGAGCATTATCCGTTACATACGTGTCAAAATCAAGGCAAGTCAAATATTTAATTTTTTGGAAATATCATTTCTAAAGCAAATAAATTACACGAGTAAAAGATGTTTTCAATCAATATAGATAAGTTATATTTAGTAAATTCAAAATGATGTCATTTAAAATTAAAATCAAGATGTTTTATAATTTTAATATATTGTAGAATTATATTAATTTTTATTATTATAATTTTTTGATTTTATAACTCCAAAATGATATCATTTTGGACTTATTGGAGTTCCCTAATTATATTTGCTATAAAAAGAGAAAAATAGTGGACCCAATTATATTTTTATTTCTCATCATTCCACAATGCTTTCTCTTTCTATCCTTAAATTATTTACAAAAATGTCATTCCTAAAAATATCCATACTAATACTATCCACCAAAAATAAAATAAAATCAAATACTAGTCAAATTAAAGGCCCTTTTTTTTTTTTTGGTAAATAATAAAAGGTCCTTTTTTTTTATATGTGTAGTAATTGCAAGTAAAATAACGTTGCTGTAGCACTTATATGTTACTATTCATAAACCCTTTAGTTCGTTAAACTCCTTCCAGCGCCCCGGCCCCGGACCTGAATAAGTGAATATAGCTTGTTTTTATCGTTCTGTTTACAATTTAAATAAATCACTTATTTAAACAATTTCTTTTCATTTAAATCCATCCTATTAGGCTATTAGGCTTTTGCTATCCCAACAAGCTCTTCTATAAGATGCTCTACTATTTTTCTTGATGTAATCTTATCAATCTCATACGCTTTCATCTCATTTTTCAGACCTGCAATAACATGACGCCAATTAATTTAGTGGCAAGCATTGCATCTATATCATTTTCTGTGATGAGAAAAGACAGTCATTATCAGCAAAATATAGTGAGCTATATACACATCTAGCACACTATATTGGAGTGTATATTAAAGAAGTTAAATGAAACTTTTTTTATGTTGGGTATTATTGATCATTACTCCATAAACATCAACATATATAACTGTGTTCGGCTTATTAATGCTCATTGTAATATTTATCAAAAGTCAAAACTAACCTGGTAGATGTAAATTTTTGAGTGGCAGCCGGGAGGCATTGAAATCGAAGAAAAAGAGCAAACTCTCCAATAACTTCACAGATTCCGTAGATACTAAAACTTCTCTCTAAACAATTACATTCATAGAAATTATGTGTGTTTAGTTTGTATCACTATCACACAAATAAGAGCACAACAAAGGTAAAAATAATCAGTAACACAGAAAAAAAGGTTCATGAAAATTCGTACTAAGCAGAATAATTACATATTGAACCTTATAAATTACGTATGTCTTAATTAGCAGGTGATGTTATATATAGGAGGGCACAGCAAAGGCAAACTTAAGTAGCACAAACAAAAAACCATTGACAAAAATTAGTACTAAGCAAAATAATTACATATTTAATCTAAATTAATCATGTATTTGGGAAGAAAGGAGTATAGTTAATTTTTTGCACATCAAAATATTTTGAGAGATCGATTAACATTATGGGAGTAGGGACAAACCTTGAAGTTCTTTTCCTCATTGTAATACCCCGAAACGATAATAAGTGCCCGAAGTTTCTCTGATACTAAAGTATAACAAAAAAAGAAGAAGTCGTAAGTAATATGTAATATGTAGTATACCATCGCTGAAACTAAAGTTGAACACATAATGTAACTTGAGGTAGTCAATGAGAACATTGTGCATGCTGCCAATGCAATGCATTTCCATGACACTAGATTGTGCATAAGGGGCTCTTCAGCCTGATTTTCATAAATATTATTTGCATGTTCATATCATGCATATTACAAATAATATGGGAATAATAAGAGATGGATATGAATATCATTAAAAAAACAGATATTGTATTTTAAACCCAAGTCTAAAACTCACACTGGAAGGAGGTTATTTCTTGTGCTAGATTTTCTGAGTGCGTGAGAAGCTGTCCGATTGAAATTCCAATACAACTCATGCCAATTTGCGACACTACTGACCTTGAATCTGCGCTTTCTGGTTTATTAAAAAATATATATATTAATATGACAAATTCTACATACAACGAAGAAAATATCAAAAACGTTAAAGGATATATAATCATGATTCATGACATGTGTCAGAGGGAAAAAAAATTTAAGGTCCCGTTCCATCCTTGTTTTTTGTGGTTCCTCTTACAATCAAACTTTTTGTTTTCTTATTTTACCCCTGTTCTAATTTTGATTTTCTTTTTTTATCCCTTTCTATTTCTACGTGAGTGGGAGCATCTAATAATCCTACGGGCCTGTACTATAGAATTATGGGTTTTATTAATCTCATGTTAAAGGAGATAGTTATCTCATGTTATAGAGATAAATTTGTGGGTTCAACCACATGAAAAAATAAAAGAAAAGAAAAAAAAAAAGTGGCACAGTTATCGAAAGGTGTGTAGGAGAAAAAACTTATCCCATATAACATAATAAGAATAGTTTTTCCCTAGAATTATTTCTCGTCTCTGACGTGATAAAATGAAAATATCTTACCATTCTTCAGTTATGTTGTGCACTTATCATCGCATCAACATTATAATACATGTTTTGTTTAATGAATTAAAAATATGAAATTATATACTTTTTTTCTTTGGAATTGCTAACATGAAGTGGTAGTCAGAAAAAGACTTCTTTAAAGTGACAAATGTCATGATAAAACATTATTATTTTAGTTATAGAAAAATTATTTTATTAATTAATCTCTCAATTATGTAAAATATTTACAAAGAAAAATAAGACTAATAAAATCGTAATTTAATAATTAATTTGGTGATATTTTATATTATTGAAGTATTAAATCAATGTCAAAATCTTTTAAAAAATTAAGCCAAAATAATGGAATTTCATATTATTGAAGAACTAATTTAATAATAATTTTTTTATAAAAAATATAATAATAATAATACTAAACATTTAGAAGGTGAAAATGAAATTTAATTATAGTAATATTGCAAAAGCAATTATGTTAATAAATCAAGTAAATTTACTTGTCGAAGAACTAAATTAAACTCCTTTATTTGTGTTTTTTAAAGAAAAAAATTAATTAATTATTTTAAAAAAATATAATATTTACATAATTTTTTAAAAAATAAAAAATATTTGTTTAATATTTTTTCCAAAAAAAAAAATACAGTTTATTTCTTAAAAAAAGAAACCTCAAAATAATAATATCGTAAAGATACTTTTCTTAGAAATTATCCAAAGCAATGAGACGAAAAACATCACATCAGCCGACACGTGATATGTACTGAAATAATATTCAATATCAGGTTTTTTCAATAGTTGTGTTATTTACATTTATTCATTCCATCACAAAAAATTTCAGAGTTCGTCCCATCACCTTTTTTTTTTTTTTTTTCTGTCCTTCTCGGGTTTTTTTTTCCAATCAAAAGCTCTCACGGGTTATGTAAGGTATTTGTTTCTAAAATGTTTATGTAAATGTTATAGAAATAGTATAATAAATAATATATAATTAACATTGTCATATATTGAAAAAAGTAATTACTAGAATTTTTCATGAAAAAAATTGCAGTCAGCCTCAACAAACTTTGTCTTCTTATGAAAGATTGAATTAAAGGCCATAGGAATGGCTTCTTGTTGTGTGACAGCTCACACCAAAACTGCTGTGTGGGCCTCGCACTCTAGAAACCTATCTAACCTAGTTATTGATTCCTCAATATATTCTTACTCGATATAGCAATACGTTCTGCTTTTTACTTACTATTTCAGAAAATCAATCCCCCCCCAAGACAAAAAAAGGTGTACGAATTTTTTTCTAATACTGGAATTAATAAATATGGAATTTTATAAAACAATAAAAAAATATTTTATTAATACTTATCAAACTCGAAGGAGAGCTCCTGTAATCCTATTCCTATCTAGGGGAAATCCAGCAAATCAGAACTAGAAAATTCTATCTTATTCATAGTAAACATTTTTCTCTCTAAGTGATGGTGATGTTCCAAAATTTCAAGGCCACACATATATAAACTAAAAAAATTTCAAGGCCGTGTGTACCCATTTCACATCCCTAAATAAGATAGTGTGAACCTTCCTATATGTGCAATAACCTCTGAAAAAAGCATAAACTGTAACACTCACTAAGAAGACAAATATTAAGGCGAGTGACTGTAAGATAATTGAAATTTTCAACTAGCTTTCAATAATGCACCTAAAGTAAAAAAAAAATCAGGTTATAAGGAGAAAAGTATAGTATAAATACACTATATGCAAAGGTAACACGTATGTTCTATAAAAACGGCTATGGAATCCTAACTGCCAGACAAAACACTGAAATAGCGAGTCTCACAAGTGAGGTGGGGGCACATGTGTGAAATATATATACACCGAAACTTTAAAAATCCGTGTCCGATATTTTTTAACACTCTCGGACACTTTGACACTCTCTGACACTTCAACACACGATAGAAATTCAAGAAAAGGATTAAAGGTTGTGTTGCGTTGAGTTTTTAGTTTCAACTATTAGATTCGTTGAATTACGATTACTATTTTATTGAGTTTAATATAAATATTTGGGATATATTATGTTTCTTTGCAAAATTTATGAATATTATAAGTTTAGATTCATTTTTTTTAAACTATTGAATATTAAATATAATATACACCACATAAATTAAAAATATTATTTAATATCAAAACGTGTCCTAACGTGCCGAAATCTAACATTTTTAGTAATTAATGTGTCCAAAGTGTCATGTCGTGTTCCGTGTCCCGTGTCGATATGGGTAGTACATAGTATACCATTGTTGTGTATTGTTGGGTAGTTTGAAATATAAAGCCGAAACATCACTCAGAGAGAATGAATAATGTTAATTGTGAAATGATTCATCAAATTCCCGTTTATAAAGATCAATACCTTGTCCTGTCCACTTTTTAAAATCCTTTCGCAAGATATCTGCTACTTGCAGGGAGGAAAGATCATGCATTTTGTACCTCACTGAAATTCATATGCATAGAAGTAGTCAAATGACTAAACAAAGTTTAAAGCTAAGTATCAGATACATAAAATGCAGTAGAAGTAGTCAAATTCAAATCTTGTTGGTTTTCTAACAAACTTGTGAGGTCCCTCTTATGTAATGTTTTGCAGCACTAATCATTGCAAACTTTTAACAAACCAAAATCTCAATAATAACCACAGTCAATTAATCCTTGATCGAAATATGCATGTAGTACAAAACTAAATCGATAAAGAAATGGTGTTGGACTTACATAATTGGTAAAGACCATTGCATCCATAACGACCAGCACCATTGATCAATAATGAAGCCATGTACTTATCTTTGGAGGTGCAACGAGGGTCCCTTAGATTCGCAGTATCCAAAAGGATGCCAGCTAACTGCAAGCATTTATAAATACCAAAGACAATCTGGTTGAGATTTTGTTCTGTAGAATAATGCTCTTATATTTGCGAGACAAAATTCCCATAATCTTAGAAATCACAATGAGATATCGGAAATGTTAAGAACCTTGGGATACATCACCCCAAAAGCTAGCTCAAAGGGTGAGAGTGCTAAAGGCCTTATAAACTCCACATTAGTTGCACATACAACTAATGTGGGACTATATATCTCAACAGGAAATATGAATTCTATCTCACAAGAACAAGAGCACCTACTAAGCAAAACAATTGTCAAGGTATTTCATTTTCAATTTCTGCAGTAACAAGTTGGACCCGTCGGTGAAAAATACAAAACAAACACCTCGTGATTGAGAAATTCTTCTCGTGCTGTCTCCATCCGACAGGAAATTCAAATCTTGTGTGACATATTTCTAAGTTTCTAGTCAAGTGCAAAATCAAAATAATGCGGAGGGTTTATGAGAAATGGAGAAGATATTGTGGCAGTTGCTCCAATTTCATATGATGCAATAAACCGGCAGTTTATGAATAAATACTTCTCGAAAGAGATAGAAGTTTAAGTACCAGAAGTTTACTGAATGATTTGCTAGCCAAAATTTCAGGCGAACACGTTGCAAATTTCTCAGCTATGGCAGTACAACAAGAACTTTCCTGTAGTCATGGTTAAGCCGTTATGATATCAACTGTGACTCCATATAATGATATAACAATAATAGGAAAAAAAATATTCTTCTTGACCATTTTACACCAGTTCATATGAGAAAAAAAATTCTTTTGCTACCACTTGTTCAGATTTGTTCATGCTTTATGTCTTAAGGAAGATAAGAAGAGAGTACTCCGACATGCACAAGTTTTTTTTTTTCGGTAGCACCATGTACTTGTAAGATTCATAAAATTCTGCATAAATACTTGAAAGTACAGAATTATAATAGTTTCTACCAATTGTAGATACATTCTATTTTATAATATCAATATCTAAAACTGAAGCAATTATATCTTAAAGAGAATTTTCAATTTCAATTTGATGGTGACGAAGAACAGAGTAAATTTGTTCTTCATTCCAAGAGAGCAAAAAATGGAACCTGGAAGAAAGTATATTGAGATAATATGATCTATCATGAACTTATCAGATCATAGCATTATGCAGATATAACACTACCCAAGGACTTGGTTAAATAAGTCCATACGAAACCCCAAACATCTTCTATTTGAACTTCAACCAATTTTTTCACTACGAGAAATAAATAGTCAGGTAAAGGCGCTTGGTGTTTTTCTACACGTAACATCCCGTTCTAGAACCGGTTTGTTAACATCGCATTATGATATTAAGCGCAGTTACAATCACATGGGTTCAATTAAAATCCGGATAATTTTTTTCATTTTAAAACATGCCTAATTATTTAATTACATGTAATTTGCTAATTAATTAGGTTAGGGCTATTATATTTTTCTTTGACAATCTAGCATGACCATGGTCACTACACAAGCTTCCAAATACAATGAAGCTGATTGTTTGTGTGTGTGTGATAGAGAGAGATCACTTGAGAGCAGTGAAAATTGTCATTGGGAATTTAAAGCCCTACCTCTCCTGTTGTGACAGTTTTGACCCATGGGTATATTGTCTCACCCTGAACAAGAAAAGATAGGATATCGATGGTATGTGTTAGTTCTGAAATTCCTAGAATAAAAAAGCCGTTGATAGAATGGAACCAAACTAAGCGTAGTAAATTATAACCTTTTTGCAGTGAAAAATTTCAACCACATCCTGCTTCAATTTCTGCTGTCAAAAGAACAAAATATCCGTCACATGTAACAATTTTTAACGATAGAATGAAGAGCAGTGTGTCCAATGCATAATTTGTTACCTCTTGCTTATTGGCAATCCTGCTGCTCTTCAACAGTACAATCCGAAGACTGCCAAATAGATCATAATATGACAGATCAATCTGTTTGGAATTTATTCATGACAGAAAAAGCATGTTAAAGTTAGAACTCATTGAAAGTGGACACACACACACACACACACGAGAGGATGATTGAAATAATCCTGCTAAGAAAGGGACTGCTCAGAAAATCAAAGGTAATAATTCTGTTCTAGAAGATTATAATAAGCGTCAAATGTTAAAATATTGCTATTTGGTGCAACGGATGTAGTAGGTTCATTTTTACCAAAAAGGAAAAAAATAACTATAAAAATAAAGGTAATGTAAATTTGTTACTTTTTTTTCATATTTGATAAAAAATGTACTGAGTGGTCGATAAATTCGTATTACTGAAAATATTTTCCTCGTGAGCTAGTTCTCATTTATCAGTTTGTACTTAATTATGTACAAGAAGTTATTTAAAACTTTCTGCCCCACATTCCCACCAACAACATAAATTTTTTGGACGCACACCCCTCCCCCCTCCAAAAATCCGTATAGTAAATTGTAGAAAATTAGAATTCAAACATGTTTCCGTTTTTATTTCCTATTAATTAGGATTGATTATGATTGATTAGGATTGATTATGATTGATTAGGATTAATTGTGATTGATTAGAATTGATTGTGATTAGGATTGTGATAGGATTGATTAGTCATCGCTTAGTCATTCTTAGCGATTCTTTCTTGTATAAATACTCACTCATGTAATTTATTCAAAATCAATATACAAAAACTTCTTTTCAATATGGTATCAGAGCGGGTTCGTTCCTACCCTAATTCAAATCTGAAATAACCATCCAAACACTTCCATCACCGTCAAACACCTCCTAAACACCGCCTTGAATCTGTCCAACACAGAAACCTAGTTTACTGACCTCCGATCAAAAAAGTGAGGTGACCATTCGACTCAGAAGGATCCGACGAGTCGACCGCCGCTGGACCCATCGCCGTCAGCCGCTGCACGCGCCACCACGCGCCGCCTTCCTGACGTTTTTTTTCCATCGCGACTTGCACAGACCTTCTCGCCGGCTTCTCCCCTTCCTGTTCCAGAGGTCAGATCAAAAGTTTACAAAACTTGATTTTTCATCAACGGTCAACCCTTCTCTTTTTATTCATGGCTTCCTCAAAACACTCTTTTTATTACCACGAGCAACCTCCTAAGGCCACTAGTCATGTGGTCCAGCAAGGTACAACTTTCCATGTTGATAGTCAAAATCATTGGATCCTTGATTCTGGAGCCTCTGATCATATGACAGGTAATCTTGGCTTGTTTTGTTCATACACTCCATATTCTGAACCTTCTCGGGTCAAGATCGCCGATGGCAGTTTTTCCCAGATTGCGGGACACGGAACCATTAAACTTTCTGAGCTGATTACTTTGACATCAGTTCTTTATGTTCCTTCTCTGACTTGTAATCTCATTTCCATTAGCAAGCTCACCTCTGAGTTGCATTGCTTTGCTAAATTCTTTCCACATGGTTGTGTTTTTCAGGAACAGGACTCGGAGAGGATGATTGGCAGTGCTAGAGAGGATGGTGGACTTTACTACTTTGAGGAGGATGTGACTCATGAAGCTGTTTTCGTAGAAAAAAACTCTATGTTTCCTTTTGATTCATGTAATGATGTTATGCTGTGGCATCGTAGGCTAGGCCATCCAAATTTTATTTATCTTCAGAAGTTGTTGCCAAACTTATTTATTAATAAAAGTCCAAGTTTGTTTTCTTGTGATATTTGTCAACTTGCCAAGCATACTCGTGCTCATTATCCTTCTAAAGTTCACCATGACTCTTCCCCATTTTCCTTAATTCATAGCGACATATGGGGTCCAGCCCGTGTTAAAAATATTTCAGGTACTCGATGGTTCATTACCTTCATTGATGACCATTCTCGAGTTTGTTGGGTGTATCTTCTAAAGGATAAGTCCGATGCTGCATCCGTGTTTAAAAAATTTCATGCCATGGTTCAAACCCAATTCCAAGTTGCTATACAAATTCTTCGTACAGATAATGGCAAAGAGTATTTTAACTCTATTCTTGGAGAATATCTTTCCCAACATGGCATCCTTCACCAAAGCTCGTGTCCTGACACACCCCAACAAAACGGAGTTGCGGAAAGAAAAAACCGACATCTCCTTGAAGTTGCTCGGGCTCTTATGTTTACCACGAGTGTTCCTAAATATCTTTGGGGAGAGGCAGTTCTCACTGCCTCGTATCTGATAAATCGAATGCCATCTCGCATTCTGAAATTTCAGTCTCCTCTTTCTAGTCTTGTTCGTATCTTCCCTTCCTTCCGAGGTGTCTCCTCCTTACCTCTCAAGTTATTTGGTTGTGTTGTATTTGTCCATATTCCCTCCCATCAACGGTCTAAGCTTGATCCTAAGTCTCTCCAGTGTGTCTTTATTGGTTATTCTCCTACTCAACGTGGCTATAAGTGTTATTCACCCTCTCTTCGTAAGGTCTTTGTCTCTATGGATGTCACTTTTTCTGAGAATGACCCTTTCTTTCCCTCGACTTCTCTTCAGGGGGAGTCTATAGGAGTAGATGAAGATCAGTCATGGGAACCTATTAATGCCACAGTATTACCTCTACTTTTGGAAACAGGGGGAGCTACAGAATCCTCACCATCAGGAGCCTCCTCAACATGGGGACAAGTTTATAGCAGGCGAAAGCCTCCTCAAAGTGTGAATAACCCAGAGCCTCTACACTGCCAGGATTCTGAACCATGTTCTAGTTCCAGCACCCCAATACTTGAGTGTCATGGTGAAAATGATCTACACTTGCCCATTGCTCTTAGAAAAGGTACTCGATCTTGTACTACTCATCCTATTTCTAATCATATTTCATATGGAAAGTTGTCCCCAGGGTTTCGTGCTTTCAATACTATGTTGGATAGTACAAAGATACCGAGAAATATACATGAGGCTCTCAATGATAAAAAATGGAGGGATGCTGTCTTTGAAGAAATGAATGCTTTAGAAAGAAATGGAACTTGGGAGATAGTGACCCTACCCAAAGGAAAAAAGGCAGTAGGATGCAAATGGGTGTTTACAATAAAATTCAATGCAGATAATAGCATCAACAGATACAAGGCAAGATTGGTTGCAAAGGGTTTCACTCAGACTCATGGGATAGATTATCATGAGACTTTTGCTCCGGTTGCTAAAGTCAATACCATCCGAGTTCTCTTATCTCTTGCTGCCAATCTAGATTGGCCTCTGCAACAGTTAGATGTGAAGAATGCATTCCTAAATGGTGACTTACATGAAGAAGTCTATATGGATCCTCCACCTGGTTTTGAAAGGGGAAATGAATCAGTGTGTAAACTAAAAAAGTCTCTATATGGATTGAAACAGTCTCCCAGAGAATGGTTCGACAAATTCACACAAGCAGTCAAAAGAAGAGGCTTCATTCAAGCACAGACTGATCATACTCTCTTCCACAAACACTCTAAGGATGGTAAAATTGCTATTCTTATTGTATATGTAGATGATATAATTCTTACAGGTGATGATATTGAGGAATTGAACACCTTGAAGAAATTTCTAGCAGCTCAATTTGAACTCAAAGACCTTGGCACTCTCAAATATTTCCTTGGTATGGAAGTTGCTAGGAGCAAAACAGGCATCACTCTAACACAAAAGAAATATGTTCTAGATCTTTTGTTGGAAACAGGAATGTTAGGGTGTAAACCTGCTGAGACACCTGTGGAACCTAATACCAAGTTAGGTATTGAAGATGGGAATGAGGTGGATAAAGAACAATATCAGCGATTGGTTGGTAAACTAATCTACTTATCTCATACGCGTCCTGACATTGCCTTTGCGGTGAGTATGATTAGTCAATTCATGCACTCACCCAAGGAGAAGCATCTTAGTGCAGTCTATAGGGTGCTTAGATACCTCAAGAATACTCCAGGAAGAGGATTATTCTTTAAAAAGGGGTATAAAAGGACAATTGAAATCTACACTGATGCAGATTGGGCAGGCTCATCAGTAGACAGAAGATCTACCTCAGGCTATTGCACCTATGTGTGGGGAAATCTTGTTACTTGGAGAAGCAAAAAGCAAACAGTGGTTGCAAGAAGTAGTGCTGAAGCAGAATTTCGAGCTTTAGCTCATGGAGTTTGTGAAGGAATCTGGTTAAGAAGACTTCTTCAAGAGTTGAAGATTTCATATTCCCTACCAATAAAACTATATTGTGACAACAAGGCAGCTGTTAGCATTGCTCAAAATCCTGTGCATCATGATCGAACAAAGCACGTGGAAGTTGATCGTCACTTCATCAAAGAAAAATTAGATGATGGAAGTGTGCATTTGATATATGTTCCAACCAAAGAGCAAACGGCAGATGTCCTTACCAAGGGCCTACACCGTCCAGCATTCGAAGACTTGATTGGCAAGTTGGGAATGATCAATATTTACCTCCCAACTTGAGGGGGAGTGTAGAAAATTAGAATTCAAACATGTTTCCGTTTTTATTTCCTATTAATTAGGATTGATTATGATTGATTAGGATTGATTATGATTGATTAGGATTAATTGTGATTGATTAGAATTGATTGTGATTAGGATTGTGATAGGATTGATTAGTCATCGCTTAGTCATTCTTAGCGATTCTTTCTTGTATAAATACTCACTCATGTAATTTATTCAAAATCAATATACAAAAACTTCTTTTCAATATAAATACATGAAGGACTTGAATTAGCCTATTTTATGTTTAAAGAAACTTTTAATCAAAAAATTTCTCATAGAATTTTTTAAAATAAAAAACTATTATTTTCTTCAAAATAATCATTATTAAACATGCACTGAAGTTGCATTCCAATTTTTTTTTTTCTGACCCCGGGAATTTCAATATCTATCACTGCGCCTCAATAATGTGATACTTTGGGTCATTGGAGGTCAAATCTCTGCATATTTTCATTACTTTGTCATTTAATATTTTCATATACTGCGTCGACTTCTATACCCATCAAGAAACCAAGATGAGTAGGTTTCAAGTAATTAGCAGGCCTATATATTTGGATGTAGACTACAGCTTGTTTTATCAAAATCTAACTGTCGGGCCTTAGAACAGTGTCGTAAAACTAACCTCATCTGCAAAAATTAAGGATGATTGATCAATTTGACATGAATCAAGCAACCACTTGAGTTCAACATTGGAACCAAGATTTGCCCGGTTAATGTTGATAATTGGTACTGTGCAGAATTGCTGGCTTTGTAAAGTTGCATTCAGGTAGAAGGCATACATGATGGTTGAAGCCACAGTTCCCACGTCTGTGAACAGTTTGCATATAATATAAATCAAAGATGACCTTTGGAACATGTCCTTCGAGAAAACAAAGGTAATGAGAAAAATATATTGATATCTGTGAAGAAACTAATAAAGGCTTATACTAAAATAAGCCGACATCAACTTATAACAGTCTAACCTCATGGATCCATGTTCACCAGATTCAATGTGTGGTAAGTTTTTGAGTTACATATTACAGAAGCTGAGTAAGAAGAAATTACCAGCATCATCTGAACCCATTACAGCATGTAAGAATTTCCCAGGTACACCAGCATTGACATCACCCTTTCTTGCTCTCAAATATGCATTCAGCTTGTCAATGCTTTTACATGATTCAACAATTTCCATTTCTGGTGATACTCCGTTATAGTATGAAGCTGCAGATAGTGGAAGTAGAATATTTGATTGCTTTTCTTTTCTTCTAGTGACAATGTATGTCTTTTCTGTATTGGATATTGCAGGAGATTGTAAGGCCTGATGCTCTTCATCAGTTTCAGGAATCTTAGGGTTACAGCCATTTCCAAGATGTTTTGGATTAGCCAGTTCAATCAGCTCAGACTGAATATCTAATTGTATAAATGGAGCATCTTTGCTGGTCTTTAACCAGGTCTCAGATGAAGAATGTTCTAAGGACTCATAGTTGAAACCTGAGGCTGCTGAATTCTCCTGTGGGAAGTCCATAACCTCTTCAGACATATCTGAGACAAACTTTTTGGGTGTGGTTTCACCAATATCTGATACAGATACGAAAACATTACTGCAATCAGCTCCTCCTTGAGAGTTCAAGGGAACCTGATCACCAGCTCTTAGAAGGCCATCAAAGTAAGAATTCTCTCTAGTACGAATGAATTGTTCCTGCATATAAGGGGGGGAAATGAAATGAAATAAGGCACCTGTTAACGAGCAAGAGAAAAAGGAGGAGTTGAAATGAAAATATTGATTGTAAAGTTATTCTTTTATTATTTTCTACCACAAGTCTATTCCACACAAAGCTGGATGTTCTTCCTCTTGTGACAGGTACAAGTCCAGCGACGTGTATAGGTTGAACCGAACAATTTTTTTTGAAAAACTTAACCGAATTGGTTTAAATAGTTCAGTTCGAAAATAGTTCGGTTCGATTCAAAACTGGTTCGGTTCGGAAGTGGTTCAATTCAGTTCGGTTGAATCGGTTCAGGTCAGCCTTATTTTAAAAAGAAAAAAAATTAAAAAAATTAAAAATAAAATTATAAAAATCAATTTAGTTTGGTTTGAAAACAGTTCGATTCGGTTCGGTTCGGTTTAAAACGATTTGATTCTAAAACTGGTTCTAAAAAACGGTTCGGTTCATGAACTGATTCTTTAAAAACCAGTTCAATTCATGAACTGATTTTTAAAAATCGATTATTTTAAGAACAATTTGGTTCAGTTCATGATTCGGTTCAGTTTATTGGTTATAAACCTCTATGTGAAGCTTCAAAAGTAGCAATCGTAACAATAGACTATATATTCATAACCCACTATTTGATCAAAATCATATTAGGAATGAACCAAAACTGAAAGAAAACAAAGAAATAAAATGAAAATGATATCAGTTTGAAACTGGCATAGTTGCATAGATACTAATATTAAACAAACATTCAGCTCAAGAGGTTTGAAGTAACTATTGTCAATGGTTATTAAATGCATAGACAAAAGCATGATAGAGCTATCAATTAACCTGGTGGTTTGGGACAAATGCTCCAGCAGACCTCATGGTTGAGAAAACAATTAAGATTAGAGAAGCATGAAAAGATGGCAGTTTTAAAGGTCTAAGGAGACGGCAAAAGAGGTATAGAACAAGAAAGGGAAAGAAGACAAGAAGGGAATTGTTGGAGACTCCGAAACACGTGACACCCCTTATGCCATTATGTCAACCTTGTCCTTCTTCAACATGCTTTGTGAAATGCAACGGAATATGCGTTTACATGTGCTATGGGAACTCCATAGCCTGACCTTTGCCGCTCTGGCTTTCATGCAATTATAGAACTTGAACCAGTTCTATGTGCCACTTTTTTTATAAAAAAAAATTACTTAACATTTTGAGAATATATATATATATATATATATATATATATATATGTATATTGTAGTATAATTAGATAGTGTTGGTCTTTTTGGTAAGTTTGTATAATTGATACACCTTCGCTCTTCTGAACCAACTCTCCATTCTAGTTTCTAGCAGTGTTTTAAAACTTCGTCCCACCTCGGGGTCGACCCCTCCGGGTCACTGACCCCTTCTCTCTGAGGGTTCGGGTTAGTAATTAGACATTACTTGCACGTTGACCCCTCTAACTCCCAAAACCCCCCGGTTGAACCCTTGACTCCCAGGTTGGAGGGGTTAAAGGGGTCACGGCATTTTTTTTTCAAAAAATATTATACACAAAATGACGTCATTTGATGTATAAAACAAAAAAAACAAAAAATTCGTTACTGCCTAAATTTAGAACTAAATCTGAAATCTGAAATCTGAATAGTTCCTCTTCTCTTCCGATCTTCTCTGCCTGACTCAGACTTAGTTTTCCTATTTCGGTGATCTCCTCCACTGTGCTGGTTCTTCTTTCCCCAACGTTAATTTATCGTGTCGCCGCCTTTCTTCCATTACTATCTATTGGGTAAGGGATCTCTTTTTAGATACTATTATAGGTGCATGAGAAGAACAAGAATGACCTGAGTTTAATGATATAACTTTTCATTAACTGCATTGGAATATGTGTTTTATACTTTGATATGCATTGGAATATGTGTTTTATAATTTGATAGTTTGATTAGCTTGTGAATATTGATTTGTAGATGTAATCGGTTGAATTATGTTAAGTATATTTTGAATCTTTAATGATTGGTGGTTTGAATTTTTTATATAGAATATATATTTATATTTTTTTAATGTATAAAACTGAGTTAGCGAAGTGACCCCATGATCTTCCGGTTGAACCCATGACTCCGTGACCCCTGACCTCGGCCCGCAGGTTGATGGCCGAACCAAGTTTTTAAACACTGATTTCTAGTAGAAACGTAGGATGAAAATATTCGACTAATCAGGTCATGAACTCGTGCGGCACAACAATACCCTTCCTTTTAAGTTTTTAACACAACTATTAATTTTTATAAAAAAAATTCTTTCACTTTTTCTTTTTATCAATACCTAGATTTATTATTTTGGGATTCAAAAAATTATTCGTGCAACCATCATATCTCCTTATGAAAATATTAATTCACCCAAATATGATGGTAGCTCAGTTACTATCAGGAAACTGAGTTGATAAGTAGTGAGAGCATCATGCTCTCAGTAAGTTCTGAGAGGGGTTTAAAGTTTTAATCTCTAGATTCGCCTCGATTAAAATATTTCAAAAAATATATATATATATTAATTCAATGCACGTAAAACCAGAAAGCTATATGTAGTATCTAGTTCTTCCCACCACAATTGAAAACGTATCAACATATATAGCAATTAATATCGTAAAAGACAAAACGCCTAAACCATGCATTCACCGTGAGTGATGAAATCCTAGTCGATCCGTTTTAACTTTTTAACTTAAATAAAATGGGTCCATGAGTAAATGATGTAACTTAAATTACAGAATGCATAGTCTAATTATATAACCCACGGTCAGTTTATGTTGAAACAACTTATACTGTTCACCAAAAAAAAATTACTTATACTAAATTCATTTTATTTATTGTCTTGAAAATGAGGATATTTAGGCATCAGCGAAAATCAAACTGATCACAAGTTTTTTTTTTTTAATAAATAATATGAAGAAAGTTTAAATTTATGTTTTCTTATTTAAAATCTCTCAGAAAATTTTAATGGTTTGAATTTATGACGTAAAGGGCTTTCGGTAATTGGTATATATATGACTTAAGTTTTTTAACTTCTTCTATACCTTTTGAATGGATATTAGAGACACTAATATCCAAGATCTTCATTTTTATTTTATTTTTTTGACCACAAGATCTTCATGTTTGGGCAATATATATGAGCAGCTAGGTAATATAGATATCGGATCTTATCTATTCAAAAAAGTATATTGGATATCTTATCATATATTCATAAATATCAAATAAGGTACGTACAGATATACAAATTATAAACTTTATATACGTATATGGATTTTTTATCCGGAGATAGTAATATGAAGTGTTTATAATAGCCTTAATTATATCTTAGAGTCTTAGACAGAGATGTCTGATTTAAACGTGTAACATATTAAAATATCAGAGATTTAAATGAAAAAAAAAAAAAAAAAACTTGAATAGCAAAAGCCTAGCTAGTAATTGATATGAAAGTAACATATTACTCTTTTGTTTTGGTTCGTCTAGCTGTTTGCTTATATTGTACCATTTGAAAGAGATAAACAAAAGATGAGAGAATCGCCAATTGTTTAATCAGCTCTTATTGATCTCGTTTGTTTTTGTTCTTATGTCTTAATGTCAGGTCCTCAAAATAATTAAGAATTTTTCGTAGGTTCACACACAGTATACAGGTGATTTCGTTGTGATGCAGACAGGGGCAAAACGTACGAGTATATCTATGCGGCCCCCGTTGCTAGATATCACATATATATAGACAAAACAAATTTACAATAATAATGAATGCCGATCAATATTGTGCTCTCTTTCCATAAACCAAATACAATTTAGGTGTCGAGTCATTTCTTGTTCTTTCTTTCAAGGGTGAAGCATAAGTAGTTTTAAGCTGGCAAGTCAAGTCAGAAGCTTGTGAAGCATCATTGATATTTTTTTTATGGGGTTTGATTTTTTCATGTTGAATGAATTCTCATATTGTTATGACTCTTCGATTTGTCTGCAAATTTTATTTTATTTTAATAAATGTGAGATTCACCATTAGTTGAGTCACAACATGAGAATTGAATTATCCTACAACATGAAAAAATATTTTTCCTTTTATATATATATATATATATATATATATATATTGTTACGATCTCACATCCTAAAAACCGGTCAATGGGCGGGAGAACCCTTGAATTTATTATTTATAAATAAAAATATCAAGTAATCTCCTCACCTCATATCTTTACAATGAACATAGTTTATAACAAGGGAAATATTTTTTTCATGTTACATAAATTTTTTTATCTTATGTTATACACATATTGAAATCTGGTCAGCATTTTTTTTTCTTTTAATTGTGGGACTCATCTAACTATGTCTCTACATAAAACAATGTTATCTCATGTAATATGAGAAAAAGATTGTCCTTATAACAATATACTTATCATTTTAGGGTGTGGATGATTCTGTTCTCTGTAAATATTTTTGGATAAACTAATTTTTTTTATTTATGTACTCAGAAAGAGTTTATAGAAAAAAATATTTAATGCCCCAACTTATTTTTATATCAAATAGATAAAATGTATATGTAATAAATAGTGTGTAATTAAAGTTTATAATACATTTTAGGATGTCTGTAATTAACAAATAGTGTGTGTTAGGGATAAAATAAATAAATTATTTTTTATTTCTGTTAATTTATGTTTCCAGACACTCGGTTCATTATCTGAAATAGAAAACATAAATTGATTTTATCACATACTATTTTATACCACTTTTGTTTCCCAAACTAAAAATAAAAATAAAAATTATTTTGGAGAACGTTATAATGCATACTTTTAATTTCCTTCAACCATAGCCCATCAGATTGCCCTCACATCAAACACTATAGTTAGCGATGAATAATGAGAAGTTTGAATAAAAGGTAAATATTCATTAGTGTACAAAAAAAAAAGATAAAATATTCTTTTACCTGCTTTATGTAAAGAGACAGACTTCATGTGAAGCTTGATGTGCTGCCAAGAATTGTGATTTGTGAAGCTGAAAACTTGAAGTTTTTTAGTTTAACAAAATAAAAGCTTTTGAGTAATTTTTTTTTTTTTTTAACATATCATCTATTTTATGGCAGTGGCGGAGCCATATTGGCTTCAGTCACTAAGGCCTCTGCTGATTTTTAAAAGTTAGTCATATTTTAGACGTAGCTAACTAATCGTAACTAATCACATTTCAAAAATTTAATAATTGGCACTGGCTAAATTTTTTTTAGCCCTGACTTAATTATTTTGTTGGCTCCGCCACTGTTCTATAGCATTCTCTATATCATTTTTATACGACTTTTATTTTTATATAAAAATGCTTTCATTGTTCCATAAACATGTACACTTTGCAGAAGAAAATTAAGTAGTTTTTTTGTATCAATTTTAGAATTAAATGATGTAATTAAAAAATTGCGTGTAACTAAGGATTATGTTATAACATTGAGGAAAAAGTAAAGAAAAGGTATTTCATTTGTTATTTGGTCTCATTTAATATTCCTTTTCCCCTTTACTTTTCGTGTTTGTAGTTTATTTACTTGTAAGAATTATTTTATAATTAATAAAATTATGAGAAAAGAAAAGGCTTTAAATGTGTTCTTCAATTTGATTTTCTCTTTTCCCTTTTTTACTTTTTTAATAATATATATTTAAATAACAAAAAAAATGTAATGAGAATAATAATAATAATATTATTATTATTTTATAGTTACTCTATTTATAAAAACAAATATATTATACGGGAGAATGGTTTCTCCTATTACTAGAGAAACTATTCTTCCGCCTGATTAAGGATATAAATATGTCAGGCTAGATTAGACTTTGATTTTTATTGTCTAAGCCTATATAAAAATATGTTGAGTTTATTGGCCTATTAATCTAT